ACCGAGCTCGTACGAGCGAGAGCAGAACTGGCTGCGTTACAGAACAAATTTGAAAATATGGGATTTGTATCAGGACCTTTCACTTATATGGAACAGATAGGCCTCAAACGAGTAATCCTAAGCGAGACTCCGAGCGTCTCTGCTCCTATGATGCCCCCGCCCGTCAGGGCATTACCCCCACCGCCGGTTGAGGCTCCCCTACAATCGAACGAATCCGCGGCCATTTTCGAACTGACCAAAACTTTGATAAGTTTGATCCAAGAAAGCAAAAAGGAACAGCGAGAGCGCAATGCTCGGTTGGAAGCCATGATGAGGAACATGCGACCTATTGCGGTGTGTGCCCCTCCGATGCAACAAGGATTAGCCCCTGCCCCGGCTCTCGGAGGAGCTGTGAACAATCTGAATGTCTGTTATGCCTGTCATCAGCCTAGACATCTAGCCCGTGATTGCCCCCACCGACCCCCGCAACCGCGGATCGGAGTCGCACCTATGGCTGCGGCCCCCATCGCCAATGGACCTGGACGAGTCGGAGCCTTGATGGAAGAAGTAGAGGGTGGAGGAAGTGCCTTGGCCACCACAGAGGAGGCCGCCGAGCTAATTCTGCTAGATCAGTATGTGTCGCTGGGATACCCTGGGCTAGGAATGATCGGAACAATCAGACCAGCGCCAGAACAGAAAGAGGTGGCGGAGTGGCGACCATCCTTAGGAGAAATGGAGTCGGGAGGACCCACCTTCGTCACATGAGAGATCGATGTACTAAACATCATCCGAGCCTTGGACCATCGGATTCCCCTTCCGATCGGTCATCTACTCTCAATCTCCGAACAAGCCAACGAGCGAATGTTACAACACTGTAAAGCGAATCGAAAACGATTCGCTCTCGCCCGAGCACCGAACGGAAAAGCCAAAGGCCCCGCGTCGGAAGAAAACCCAACAAGCACTCCGGATCCGATACGGGTAGGATTTTTCTTACGGATTAAACCGATTCCGTGGAAATACGCAGAATGTGATATAATTGAAATTTGGGAAATTCCCTACAGCGCAATTATAGATTTGGGGGCAGCTGTGTTGGCGATTTCCCTGAGAGTGGTCGAAAGGGCAGGTAGGAAAAACGATGTGATCATGCTCACTGAGAAAGATCAACTCGTTTCGGCAGATGAGGAAAAGATCAAAACTGTGGGGAGAATGACCAATGTCGCTTTCCGATTAGGAAAAGTACACGCGCTTGGGGATGTCGTAGTACTAGATGTTAATACGTACGACGTTCTTTTCGGATTTCCCACTCTTGTGGCGTTACGAGCGAACCTGGATTTTGAGCAACGATCGATCGTCCTCCAAAATACAGGAGGAAAACCCTACGCTGTGCCCATGTGATTGACCCTTCGCACTACTATTAACGTGGTTCCGCGGGTTTCGCCGATGGCGACAGGGACTCTCCGCATGATCTCCTGGGATGAATCCACAGAGGGAAAGCCATCAACAGATGATGCGGAAAGCAATGACGAAGATGATCCGGAGATCTTGAAATTGATACGACAACTCGTTTGCTACCCGCCGCCCAAAAGGATAGCAAGAACGATGCAACTGACTAGCCGAAAAATTCAAAGGACTAAGGCAATGATCTTGGGTGAGCCCCTCGTGCAGATTTCGAGGATGGTCGATTCTTTGGAACCCCCTTAAACTCTGTACGAAGGAATCGTCCCTCTCCTCGCTAGGTATAGCGACAAGAAGCATTATTGTGACATTACGGAATTACCTAAGTCTTTATTGACCTCTGCTAAAGAAGTAAGATTGTTACGCTTGGGGGAGGAAGCAAACTCTCTGGAACCCCCTAGGCGTTTCGAGGCAGAAACAGACGAACTGGGGATAAAGATCACAACTAAGAACGTGCCATGGCAGGATGTTTGTGACGGGATTACCCCGGAAGGACATGTGGCAATCCGGGAAGAAGACGCCCAGATGATGGTCACGGTGTCCTCCTGGCGATTAGACCATTCGTTCATCTTGGCGCCTCCGCCCGACGTGGCAAAACAGACACGCACGAAACAGCTGGACGTTCGGATCGGGGATCAACTTTTTGAACTACACGTTCCACAGTACGTACCGGATGAAATCCACCGGGTGATTGTGGACATTCTAACGGAATATCAAGGAGCGATTAGCGTGACAGACACTGACATTGGTTTCTCGTTAGTAATCCAACATGAAATTCAGACAGGAAATCACTCCCCGATTCATTGCAAACCTTACCGGTATTCCTTGATTGAACGCAACAAGACTCTCGAACGAATTCGGGAATTCGAAGCCAACGGCTGGATTGAACCCGCCACCGGACCTTGGTCCTTTCCCGTAGTGTTAGTACCAAAGAAAAACGGAGCAATTTGCATTTGCATTGATTATCGCAAACTGAATGAAATCACGATCAAAGATGTGTATCCCCTCCCCCCGATTGATGATTTGTTGGATGCGATTGGATGCGCTAATTATTTCAGCAAGTTTGATATTCGGCATGGCTTCCATCATATTCTGGTTAAAGAGGAAGATTGGTCGAAGACGGCCTTTGTGTTGTTTGAGGGCATGTGGCAATGGGTCCGGTGTCCAATAGGGATTTGCAATGCGCCTGCCACGTTTCAGCAAGCGATGAACATGGCGACAAGGGATAATTAACTTCTGCGTGATCGTGTACATGGATGACATCCTGGTCTATTCGGAAACCTATCACGGGCACGCGCAACATATCGAATGGACTTTGGGCGCGTTGAGAGACGCTAGGTTCAAGATTGCGCTCGAAAAGAGCGAATTTTTCCTCTCGGAAATTTCGTTCTTGGGCTACGTCGTGACACGTGGAGGATTGCGGCCGGACTCGAGAAAAGTTGCGGCAGTGAAAGAAGCCCCGGTTCCCACGTCACTGACGCAGGTTCGATCCTTCTTGGGATTGGCGTCGTACTACCGGCGCTTCATCAAGGATTTTTCCGCGATTGCGCGGCCACTAACGAATTTGTTAAGGAAGGACCAGCCTCTCAGTTGGGACGCGGAGTGTCAACAGGCTTTTGCAACCGTCAAGGACGCTCTGGCGACGGCCCCTATTTTGATTCGGTCGGACCCCTCGAAGCAATTCATTCTCATCACGGACTGGCAACCGGAAGCTATTTCCGCTATTCTAGCGCAGAAGGGGAACGATTGTCGTGAACACGTCATCCAATAAGCGTCACGCACCGTACCGGACGAGCAAAGGAATGACTCGGCACCTCAAGGCGAATACTACGCAGTAGTCTGGGGAATCCAACACTTCCATCCGTATCTCTACGGACAGAAGTTTCGCCTCGTGACAGATCACGAACCCTTGCTGGCGCTGAAGAAACTCAACAACTACACGGGCATGATTGGTCGTTGGGCGGTGCGACTGCAAGAATACGACTTCGATATCGTCCATCGAAGACAGAGCGACCCGGCAACGCGGACGGGCTGACACGTCTGCATCGACTTGCTAAGGTACCAAAGGGCGAGGAAATCACACTGTGGAAAGAGCCGGAGTTGACCAACGAGCCAAAATACGGACAAGTGGTGGTTCTTCCACGTGGCAAGAAGTAAAACGGTGACGATGGGTGATGGAGGTAACCCCACTACCCCTCTCCCTCCCCCTTCCTCTTCGTCTCTCCTCTCCCTGCCTGACAAATTTTGGTATTTTTGCGAAGCCATCTCCCTCGTATACGCGGTCTCCATGCGTCCTAACGGAGAAGGGTATGCGGATTGGATAGATTGCCGACACGTCATAAGGGTTGGAAAGGACCTGGAAATTTAGAAGGGTCGAAGTATGGATGGATATTGCCTTGATTGCCACCCTAGTAGGTAACCCCCTCCAGGATTTCACCAAGGAAGATCGGACGAGGGCAAACGAAAGGGCTCAGGATTACCGATGGATAGAAGGTAGATTAGAAAAACCGAAAACGGACGGCAGTGGGATTTGAATGGTGGTACCGCATCCGTTCATGCGGTATGACTGAGTTAAGATAGGCCACGAGGAAATTGCGGCCCATTTTGCCGTACGAATCACGGAATCTGCTATCGACAAAAATGAGTGGTACTGGTCCAATATCCGCGACGATGTGAAATACATTGTCGCCAACTGTCAAGTCTGCACCGTTGATAAAGCGCCGATTCAGCTACCGAGATCGATAGTGCCCACGGTTGTTTAACGGTCATTTCAAAGAGTGAGCATGGACACTACCGACATAGTAGTGCCCCCTCGCCCTAATAGTTGTGAATATTCAGTCCTATTGGTATTTGTCGACTATTTCTCGAAATGGATCGAAGCGTATCCTTGTCGCACACGGCAAGCCACGGAAATCGCGTGATATGTCAACCGTTTTCTTGGGATGCATAAGGATACGGAAGAGATCCTGACCGACAACGGGGCCGAATTCAGAGGGGAAGTGTTAAGGAATCTGGTCATACACGGCGTCACCATACGGAACACTGCACCCTACATGTCACAATCCAATGGGCTGGTCAAAAACGCTAACCGGGTGATAAAGACAGCATTGCGACGAAACATCGTGGCACGGGATCCGAGGCCCTGGCCCGATATCGTCGATCACATCCTGGCGGTCCATCGCGGAACGCCCCACGAATCGACGGGGCTAAGCCCCTTCCAATTAAGAACCAATAGCGTCGCTTGCGTTTCGATACCAAGCCTCCCGGATGAGTCTACATTGAACCGACGACCCACCAGGGCCACGGCTCGGGACAAGGCCAAACGACACCTAGAGTTCATGGAACGGTCGCTGCCCAGGCTAGCCCGAAAACGACAGAAAATGGTCGAACTAGCCCAAGGCCGACAGGTCCAGAGCTACGAGGCCCAAAATGGGAATGCGGGACCGCGGCCCCTGTACAAATTGGGAGACGTGGTGCAGGTAAGGAAATGTGCTCGCCAGGGTAAGCTAGCGCCACGATTCTTCGGGCGATATCACGTGATCGAACTCGGCCCTAACGGCGTGGACACCGTGTGTCTCGCCCCCGAGGTCTCTGGCAGTCGATCGGCTCGTCCGATCACCCGCCACGTGTCCTATCTTCGCCTCCTCCCCTCTGCTTCGTCTCCTTCTCCCTCGGTCTCTCTTTCTAAGGAAGCCGATGACGACGGCTCTGACTCTCCGCCATCTCCCTCTCCTTCTTGCTCCCTCTCTGCCACCCCATCACCCCGGCCATCGCCATGAGCTTCGCCATCGAGCGAGCTTTCAGTAATCAGTTGCTGATGCCACGGGGAGAGATCTTAGCCATCCGCCAAGTGCATCATCCGCGGATCAGCCCCGACTTCATGCGCCTTGCGCAGTTTTTCTGCATTGCGGGTGTGTATGGCGCGGCAGAGTTCCGGTTCACGAGCAATCCCCTCATGAACCCCCAGGTGGTGGTGCTGGCCGAGGCAACGGCGTTCCAACGGCGAGCGGCCCCAGGAATTAGCCACGTGTCTACCGTGGTAGTCTTCAACGGCGACATCACCGCCTTCGATCCGGCGCGGCAAGCTGCCATCAAAAGCACCTTGTACCAGTGGGGCCGTGATCTGGCCACTGATTGGGATCGACGGCTCACAAGGCACGGTGGTGAGTGCTATCCTGTTGACGGCATCGAGGTCAACACGCTGCGCGAGCCACCTATTGTCCTCCCAGAACTTGCTCCCTTCCAGCCATGCAGATGAGCCGCGCGCCGATCTCGACGTTTACTCCTCTCTCTCTCTTCCCCATCTTCTGGGAGTCCTCTCACTACCCTCGTCTCTCCTTCCGCCTGGAGCCGCTGACAGTACCCATCGTTGATCCAGATCGTTGGAGGTTGTGGCGTGTAGAGTTCGTTGAGCTCTCGTTCTGCCTGCTTCGAGTGGATTTGAACTGGACGTGGGAAGGCGATCGGAGGCCCGCGTCAGAGATCGTGGAGCTGCTCATTATCCAGGCGTGGAGGACCAACATGGCGGGAGACCTTCTGGGAATAGTCTTTGGAGCAGTGGATCGGGGAAACCGATCACAAATCGTGCGCGAACTTACGATCGTGATCTCGCGACTGGCCGACGAACTCCCCCTTGACATCGTCTCTCAGAGCGACGAAGAGCCCGTGCCACATACCCTCTCAAGGACTCTCACCCCGAGCCTCCATTGGTCGGCTTGTATCGAGGAGCGTTGGGCGGACGGCCGTTTTCCCTCTCACAGCGAGTACCTGGACGTCCACAGCCTAACTAATCCCCACTTTTTTCGGCAACCAACGGCGTTCGAGTGGGCGGCGCTGAGAGCAGAAGAGGAAGCAGAAGAGGATTCGGAAGGAGAATTAAGGAGAGAGGCCGGGGAAGCAGCTGCTCGGTTGGCCGAGGATGAGGAAGAAGAATGCGAAGCAGAAGAAGAGTCGGCGGAAGCTGAAGAAGAACAAGAAGAAGAAGAAGACGCAGAGGAGGAGACTTCAGAAGAAGAAGAGGAAGCCTATAGTGAGCACAGCGAGGGCGAGCAAAGTGAGGAGGAGGACGAAGACGACGACGAAGAAGTGGAAAATGGAGACGACCCGGAGCCAACGCACGACGACGAGCTCGAGTGGGTGCCAGGACCAGATCGACGAGAGGAGAACCCTGAGGCTGCCGCGCAGCGCAAGAAAGAGGTCGCGGAGGGAAAGCGACCGGTGATCGACCCCATATCGAACGATCCTTCCAAGGATCTCGAGCCGCCCAAGCTGGAACATGGGGACCTTGCTGCCATGACCTTGAGCGCCGCGACGACAAGGCGCCAATCCCGATCACGATCCCCGTCCCCCTCCGCCTCCGCCCGTCCCCCAATTCGTCAACGTATCGATCAGGGGCTTCGCCCTTCTTCCCCGATCCATATACCACCGTCCCCTTAGCCATCTCTCTTTCAATCAGTATTTCCGACTCATTGTCTTCCCCCGTAATCCCTTCCCCATCGCCACCTTCCGATATTTCTACTCCACCCGCCTAAAGCTGACTGTCCACCCCCACCCTTCCATTCGGTGCGCCGTCCCCGATTACCCCCTCCACGTTCTACTCCTTAGCGCCGCGTGGCGAGGCCGTAACCACATAGAGGTTTACTGCATCGTAAGGGGACCTTTCCCGCATGTGAAGACCATGATCGGTTCCGCACCGACGTCCTTCGAACCCTCGTTTCTCTTTACCCAGACTACCTCGCTTCCCTTCCCCGGAGCGGCCAGCGATTCCCCCGCTTCCATCGCATTGTCCGCTTTCAAGAGTTTCCCTACGACCTCGCTGCGATAGGGCGCTTCATACCTGAGCTTACGATGGAGCCGCCTCGCCCTCCCTCATACACGTACCGCCTTCCTTTCCCCCTTCCGGTTAATTACTGATGCAGCGGTACTGGGCGCGTGTTGCGGCGACGGCACGAGAAGGATCCCGTCCTTGAATCATCGATGACCCAATCTGAGGAACTAGTAGAAGAGCAATGTTGCCACGTGGATGACGTCCACACGCAGTTGAACGGTAAGTGGCATAGACAGAAGTGCTCCACGTGTCGATCGATTAGAGAAATCGACACGTGTCAACAAGCAAGCAGGAGCTTGCTAATATTGGAACCCCCTGGGCGTCACATATGTGACGAACCACTTTCTGTAACGGGCAATTTTCTGCGTGGTTGCAACAAGGGGACCTGAGCTGGGAAGATTAGGCCAATTACGGGAGATCGGGATCGGTGGAGAATTGCATCAGTGTCCTCGCTTTTCGTCCTTTTCGTCGCTTCTTTGTCGAATGGTTAGGCACGGAGTTGGGTGTGTCTTGGGATGGCCAGTTGATTGATTGGTCGGATGGATGTCTGGCGCGCCGCCATGTGCGCGCGTGATTAATAAATAATGACGTCGTTTCTTTCGTTTCGGTTTCGATCTTTTGGGCGCGGGCATCGCGTGGAAAATTTGCTTCGTTCTTTTGAATTTCCGTTTGAATTTTGTTGAGTCCCCGATGGCTCCCGGAATTCCGGACTTTCCTTCTGAACCTTGTGCTTTTTGCTTCTTCGCATTAGATAGGAATTAGGAATTCAGTAGTTAGGATTCTTTTTTCTTTTTTTTTCTTTCCGTGCAGCGCCTTCTTCCACGCGCTCCTTTTTGCGGCTGCAACGGTATTCTGATTAGTAGGTGCCCTTAATCGTGTGTGTGACTGTAATTTTGGGGCGGGCGCCATTGTAACTGTATTTTTCTTCTTGCATCTTGTCTTTCTCGCCCTCCTTCTCTTTCTGTTGATGAAGTTTTTGTAAGGCACGGTTTGCATGCTCGGATCGATGCGTGGAGAAGGGCTACGTCCCCCACGCCGCGGCCCGACCATGCAGAACGCAGGCGCTCCCTCTCTAATCCCCACTCTAAGTCCTGGTAATTCCGTGTTCTTCGCGCATGCATGCAGGCTATAAATTATGGTTGCGCGATTAGTCAACTCTCTTAACCCGTTGTTGGAAGCTCGGGGTTGCGCGATCAAGAAGGGTCGGCACACGAGCGAAGTAAGAGGTGAGTAGAGTAGGAGTTGGGCGACCCGACGGGCCGGTGCCGAACGCGTGGGATTGACGTGGGCCACGACGGACTGTGGGCACGAGCGAATCCGACGGGTGCGGGAGGACTAAGCGGGGTGACAACTTCGTGGGTTGATGCGCGAAGACGCACTGTCCGCATCGGAGAAAGAGAGAGAGAAGGAGATAGTTGAGGTCGATGGACGCGGATTTGTTGTTTCTTTATCTCTTCCCCCTCTTCATCTGTGTACATACATTTTGATTGCGTCTCCGGGCGGTTTGCCCGTTCTTATTTTCGCTTCGGCTTTCTGAATCTGGACTTGGGTTTTTGCTCACACTTGTCCTTGCAATGTCCGTCTTGATGGCATTATGTGTATGATTGACGAATGTATGGATATATGGATGTTATGCCTACTTGTCTATCTTTTGCTGAGCATCCCTGTCCTTGCCTTTTGGTTTGAATCAAATCTTTGCTTGAACCTGATGCAGCTGTAGATGGGATAAGAATTTAGCCCCGATAGCGATTTCGTTCTCGTTTTGCTTGTCTCATGATGAGGTTCTGATATGGTTGCATCTTGCATAATCGAACTTACGAAGCAATTAGACGATCCGAAGTTCGGCCCTGCGAACGCCGCGCGAGAACACGTGTAAACGGGATCCGAGTCGCGCCCTTATACACATTCCCGCGCGTCGATTCGCCCACCCCAAAAAGATTCGCAGCGGAACCGTCATCCCGTACAAGTACGATGAGGCGCAACTAAGTTCGCCTGTCCTGCACGTACTCGTGCGTGGTGATGATAACCCGACCAGAGCTATCCCATCTACAATGATACCATGACGCGATCTTGGAACTCAAACTCATCCTACGACCCGGNATGATAACCCGACCAGAGCTATCCCATCTACAATGATACCATGACGCGATCTTGGAACTCAAACTCATCCTACGACCCGGATTATTTCACCCCTTGGATAAACGAACTCATAAGGCTGCGATACCCCTGTCACACGGAGAATCGACTATGTCCGCAGGAATTCCACTGCGCTTCCTCTAGCGACCCTCGGTGCTCTGATTTCCCTTCCCCCGACCACACCTATTACTTCACCCACCCGAGATTTGTTGTCATCACCACCAGTTTCCCTCCTTTCTGCCTTCTTCTCCCGTATCATCAACTCAATGTCATTCCGTGGCCGGCCATAGCCCCCTATTGGTCGAGTACGTTTTGTGTGAATTGCCGACGTAGCGGCGAACGGAGAACTCTGGAATTCCGAAGGCCCAATCCAAATACGCGGCGGCCCGCGCCACGTGGCGGCCCTCGACGGCCTAACTTTTCGGGACTGCCTCCACCGCGGAGAGATTTCCCCATAAACCGTAGCCCATAGTGCCCCGGCCCCATCGGACCCTGAGTCCCTCGCGCATGCGCCCCTTACTCGCCCAATTGCATTCATACCCTTAAGACTCCCCCACTTCCCCAAAAATCCTTGGCACACTCTTTTTCGCACTTCCTGGCCCATATCCCACTCCGATCAGGAAGTTGCGCAAGGCGTGAGGTTCTGGGCGTCACAATGTGGCGTGGACTGCTGTGAGGTGATCCTAGCTACGGTTCGGTTATCTTCATCTTCCGACTTTTCGGCGGGTAGTCGACCTATGGGCGGTCGGGTGCTTGACAGCCGATGAAGGCGAGGAGGTGAGGTTTGGAGAGGGGAGGGGTGTGTCCATGGTAGATAGGTGTTTCTCCTCTTACCTGTCATAAAGTCTTGATTACACCTAGTTTCCATCCATCACAAATTCTTTACTTTTGATTCTTTTTGTCAACCCTTAGAGGCTTTCTAATTCGTCATTGTACTTTGTCTGCCAATATTTTGATTTGGTTCTATAGGACGATTGTGGAATGTTTTCGTAGTAAAATCTCCTATCAAAGTTGCACGGTCTACACTTAATAATCCTCAAACTAAATTTTGAGGATTAGCATCGACTTCATTTCTGATTCCTTTTGTCAGTCTTTAGAGGCTTTCTAATTCGTCATCGTACTTCGTCTCTCAATATTTTGATCTGGTTCTATAGGACGATTGTGGAATGTTTTCGCATTAAATTTTCCTAACATAAGCTACACGGTTTACACTAAAATCCTCAACTGTGGTTTGAGGATCAGCCTCGAAAATCCGTTTTGAATACCTAAACCTGAATTCGCATATGTTTTCCTTATGTGTTTTCTCCTACTGGGTTCTGAGGATTAACTTCGATACTTTGCTTTGGATACCTAAACCTGAACTTCGTATGTGTTCTTTCCCATGTGTTTTCTCCTCATGGTCTTTCCTAGTTATACTTGATCTTCCGATCTTTCGCAGGAACTCTGATCTTCCGTTTTTTGCTGCAATGCACGCAAGTAATTGGTCTTAGCAAGGGTGTCTAAGCTCAGATCAAATTCGATGTTGGAATTCTTACACAATTCTTTCGATTCCCTTAAGGAGGGGGCTGTATTGAGGGGGTAGGATGATATGATGGAGGGAAAGGACGCACTCTGTGGGAATGGGCTAACTGCAGAGTGGAATTAGGGCACAGCAGCAGCGGAGATGGTGGCTCCACTGCAACGAGTCTTGCCGGAGTAAGGTTGGATAGGTGTAGGTGGTGGGCGGTATCAGTTCCTCTCTCTAGGGAGTTTCTCCTATTGAGATGTTGTTCTTACGGGGGGGATGGGCTCGTTTTAGAGGGCTGTGGGGTAAGAGGGGGAAGGGGGGGCAACTGAGGGGGGACTGTGGGTTTGGTTAGTAAGTCAAAAGGAAGGGGCTGGGACGACGCAGGCCGGTGCTGAAGCGTTTTGCTCTGTGACCCGAAGAGGAGCATGACGCTTGGGGAGTTCTATCGAGGGAGGAAGATAGAACCAGCACTTTGGACGTGGACGTAGCTGGGGTGTATCCCTGTCACCTTTTGGAGCGTGTGTGTGACGAACCACTTACCGACCCCGTGCTATCTTTCGTACCCCTTGACCCAATACCCCCTTGGTGTATCATACCCACCCCACAGAACCTTCGTCGCCTTTCTTGATTTCAGGCGCCTTCTTTGGGCCCCCATTTTTCGGAAGTTCTATTGATTCTTGGAATTCTGCTTTTTGTAATTCGGGAGATGCATGGAAAATTACGCGCGCCTTAGCAAGCGCAATGGGAATCGGGCTCAACAGTTAGGAATTACGGAATAAGCAGAGCCCGACGTATCTTTTTTCTTGCATGAATGTTCTCGGTTACGTCAGAGAAAACTTTAGGAATTTTGTGAGAATACGGATAGGCGTAGGAATTTATTTTCCCGCGTCGACTTTCGCGCGCGGATATGGTGATTTCAATTTTNGAGAAAACTTTAGGAATTTTGTGAGAATACGGATAGGCGTAGGAATTTATTTTCCCGCGTCGACTTTCGCGCGCGGATATGGTGATTTCAATTTTTGAATTGGTTTTGGGCATAGG